TTGGTTTTGGTTTTTTAAATAGGGTAATTGATTGTTGTAGGGAATTGTACACAGTCATACTGACAGTAATGACAATGTGATAAAAAATCACAATTTTTTTAATTCTTAAAGTTTAGTGAAATAATTAAAAACTTTACATATAAGAAATATACAATCATTCTGGTACATGTATCTCAGTGATGCATTATAAAATTGTTATATCTTCATCTCAATAATAGTACCAGCAGTTTATATATGAAAGTAGAAATCATATGAAAATGTTATGAGAAGTAATACCATAAAATCATAAATATGTCTGCCTATAGTATCATACAACTTGCAAATTTTTAGATCTAATCTGTGTATGATGTATTATTTTTTTCATAACTTACCTGCAAAATGACATTGCAGTAGTCATTGGCTTTAATATTGTTGAGACCAACAATTCCTGTGAAGGCAAAAACAAGCAAAAAATTACTAAATATTACAAGAACTACAATTAAAGTTTTAAAGTAAATTACAATAAAAGAGCATTTTTTTCACAAAGGTCACCAATTACAGAACCACATGCTTTTAACTAAGAAAGCAGACAAATTACAAAAAAACAAAAAACATATTCATTAATACACAGCAGAGTTCAATAAATAGTTCCATCTACAGTATCCCATCCCACATAAGGAAAACATTTTGCTATTTGATACAGGTTTTTAGTACTTGACATGTACTGTGATTTGTAACAAAATAATTTTAGATTTATAAATTTAATCACAGAATGAAATAGCTACACTTTTCTATAACATGTAAATAAAAAAAAAACAAATTTAACATAAGAAAGTTAACATTTTCCTAAACTGAAAATGTGTTTCCAATAATAATTATCTCCTCTGACACTATAGCTATTTCTTGATCTCCACAGTTTCCACTCTTTGCCCATCTAAGCATTGAAAATGCTTGCTCCAGTCTTTCACATCCCTCTCAATTGTCCTCAGTTCTCCACCAACTTCAATGCATCCTCTATTTAGGTACTGTATATAAGCACTTCATTCAAATAATGTAATAACTTTTTCAAGACGTAAACCGGCTTTTTGTAAGGAGGTAGAGCAGGAGAGTGTCAACGGAGATAAGTATTATTGGAAGTACATTTTCAGTTTAGGAAAATGTTAACTTCCAAAATATACTTACCTCTGCTGACACTATAGCTAGAATCCACATTGACTGATGGGAATGAGCCCAGTAGAGAATATCCAAGGTATGAAAACAATGGTTTCATGAATGTGTGCCTCTTTGACAAGAAATCTGAGATACCACTGTGGAATGGTAGGAATGTATCATGACAATTTTTCCCTTCAAGAGAGACAGACATTGAACCATTGCCCAGTGTACTGCAAGGAGTTTGAGAACGTTGATATGGAGGGTAGACTTGTCTTCCATCCAAATATCCTGGAACTCCTGACCTTGAAGATAAGCTCCCCATCCCTGAAGAGATGTGTCTGTGAATAGATTGATCTCAGGACAAGGTGGTGGAATGGGTACCCCAATAGTAGTGTTGTTCCGATCCAACCACTATTTGCAATCCACAATGTTGCTCCTGCATAATGACACAGAATGGATCAGAATGCATGATCCCTTGGTTGAACAGTGACCACTGAAGGGACCTCATATGTGCTCGTCCCAAAGGAATAACAGGGTCAAGGGATGAGCAGTAGGAGAAGAAGACAAAGTAAAAGCCTGATGGATCTTTCCATGGTTGAGCACGACTTAAATGAGTATTGAAAAATACAACCAGATGAACGAGATATTGTGTTGGTGACAGAATAGATTTTTCCAGTCTGATAAAAGGAGAATCTGAGAGAGTTGTTCTGCTAATTGACGGGATGGAGCCAGAAGGAGCCAGTTGTCCATATGATGTGTGCACAGGCACAAGGAATGCAGATAATGAGAAAAAGCTCAAACAACTCTGCAGAAGACATATGGTGCTGATGCAAGACCAAAGGTAGAGCCCTGAACTGCAGCACCTGACCCATGTGCACAAATCTGCAAAATCTCTGGGAAGATTCCGCTATGGGAATATGGAGATAAGCATTGGTAACATCGAACTTGGTCATCCAGAGCACTGGGGCAAAGTGCCATCGTAGGTTGAGAAAAGATTCCATTGTAAAGCGAGGAGGATCTAAAAATTGGTTGAGTCGAGACAGATCGATGATTGGACGCCAATCTCTTGTCTCCTTGGGTACAACAAATAAAAGGGAATAAAATCCCAGATGAACAGGATTGACCCTCTCTACTTCCCTTTTGACTAACAACTCTCTTATGGCATGGGAACGAAGTTTCACTCACCGTGGATCTGTTGGAGGTGAAAAGGCAACAGGTTGTGCAGATAATGGTGGAGGTGATGTAAACTGAATGACCAACCCTGAAGCCAGAACATGGAGTATCCATGGATCCCTGGTGCAAGAACTCCAGATGTCCAGAAAGTTATGTAATCGTGTTTGCACTGCTCCCCCCACCAACAAGATAGTCACCGACAATCCACCCGAGCCGAAGATCCTCAAGAATATGGACGGACTCTATTATGGGAACCAATAGACCTAGGAACCTGTTTAAAGTGATCACAGGTTCCAAACTAGATCCCCACAGGTCCAAAATGGGGTCCATCCATTGAGAATCTAAATATACCTCCTCCTGGTGGTAATAACCAAAGCATGCTGTTCCAATAAACGTGATGGACAAGGCATAGCTATCCCGTTGCATAACTGAGTGGCATATCTCCCAGCATAAACAGCAATATCAGGAGGAGGAGGAAAAACCAAGTAGTCACTTGCCATCCTTTCTGCCAACAAGGAAGGAGTAGAGTCAAATGCAATAGGAGAGATCCCAAAACCTCACAGACCTGAGTAACCACCTGAGGTTGGAGGTGGCTGATCAAGATGATCCTCTGTTGAGGCTGACCTAGTAAAAGAAGGAGCCAGAAAAAGCAAGTCTAAATTCTTTCCAACTGGTTCCAGGTCATTTGCAAAAGCTGCCTCAGAACTCCCCTAGAGAGACACCCTTGGTCTGTATATATGTCTCCATCTCACAACAGATAATATCATGGACATCTTCGACTGAGAGTGACCCCTCCTCTGGCCACTGACAAACACCAGATAGGGGAGGTGGAAGAGGTCTGGCTGGCCTCCATAGTAGAAACACTAACTTGGGAATTCATATCCGTTGGTACGTTGTTGCTTTTTGTTGTTGTTAAAGTAATTTATATATATAAACAAAGATATAACCATAATAACACTAACCATGTTCAAAGTTGCAACGTAAATTGTGAATAACCACAACATTCCTGCTTAAAGAAACCTGTGCCATATGTTTTGTCGAGAACAAGTGATTACATTATTTGAATGAGGTGCTTATATATGCAGTACCTAGATAGAAGACGCATTGAAGTTGGTGGAGAATTTTGCAAATTAGAATTTGCCAAGAGCATTCGAGTGTGGTATAAAAGACTGGAGCAAGCATTTTCAATGCTTAGATGGGCAAAGAGTGGAAATCCTGGAGATCGAGAAATAGCTATAGTATCAATGTAGGGAAGTATGTTTTGGAATAGAGGTTTCGTTCCTTCTAAAATACAAATTCAATGATAGAATCATATCAGCAAGCTTTAACCTTTCAATCATAGGCTACCACCATAAATAAAAATGGGAAGGAAAAAATATTAGATTTAACTAAAAGATCATGCAATGTGTTAATAAATACATATTTTTTGTACTTAAGCTATCTGTGCAGTGTCCACTGCAAGGAATATTAGTGTTATAAGCCCCAACTTAACTGCTGAGCCACTAACAGACAACAAACAGATATAGGAAATAAAATTAACAAAGAAAAAATATAAAAGTATATTATCTACATAGATAAATACAAAAATGTATATCTACATATGTTTGTATAAAAACGTATTTTGAATACTTAGTTTAGTTAAACAAATGCACATTCAACCATTATCTCTGAATTCTTTGTGATCTGTACAAAGCAGTGAGCAACTTTAATGAAGTTGCTTTCAACTTACTTCACAATTCATAGACCTCTTGAATTAAATTGTTCTTATTAATATCAACATACACTTGTGACTTGTTTTCTATTAAACATTTTAGATAAGAGGAAATCAGCAAAGACATAAACTACAGTGGAAGAAAGAACAAATGTCTTGTGATATAATACATGAATTACTTGATTTGTTTTAGTGCAAAAGTACACATTGCACTAACTATGCTGTGCATGCTTTAAAAATCTAATGCCAAATTCTAGTGTTATAGCCTTCAAGCTTATTACTGGGGGAGTAAATGAGTTAGAGAGCATATGAGTGGAATTAAAAACATTTTCTCACAATAACTGAATATTTGGTGACTGTTTTCTTTAAACTGGTGAAATAAACGGTAACATTTCCTTGAACTACACCATATTAATCACTGCATATGGATTAAAATATATATGTTTGTCAAAACACACAAACATAAAAAAACGTTTGTAGTTTATTTTGCCTTACTTATACTGAAATTCAATTAACTATATATTTTAATAATTACAACATTACTAATAACTGACTAGCCGAAATAATGACGGGTAGTTAATCAAATTCAAATTACCAGCATAAATAATTATGAAATAAAGATTTAAAGAAAATCACTAATATAAGAAAACTTGGCCAAATTTATGCATAGGTGAATAGAGTTTATAGAAATAACTTAAACTTCAAATACACAAACCTGCTTATAAATATACATAATAATGGACTGGTTACCTGGCATATATGTGGTCCCATCATAAGCCCTGGACATCTTTTCATTCCTATCTAACTTGGCTATCTCTTCTGGAGTAAATGTTGGCTTCAAAACATACTTTTGAAAAACAAAAGAGAACATTTTTACAAGAATTATATTTTGATTATTATTTATAATACATGTAGGTAGTCTAATATTTAGTAAGAAAAATATACAAATCATATATATATATTTACAGGAAGCTGAGAGATCAAAATATAATACAATCATAGGGAATTTACACAAAAGTATGGAATGATGAAAAAAAAAACATCAAAGTTAAGTGATTTTTCATAACATAAAGTAATAATTAGAAAAAAAATTTCTTTCATACAAAAAGATGAGAGTATCAAATTACAGCTTGTGCAATAACATATTCCAAAATGAAAATAGTTTGTTTTGATTTGTATTTATGTTAACATGAGATACGATTATGTACAACATTCAAATTACAAAAACATTCAGTCAAATAATTGTTTACGATAATACTAGCTCAATCTGGTTTTAAATGTAATTGACTTCATGCAAATATAACAGTGTTCCTGATGTTTTACTTGGTTACATTTCAATTATTTGATTCTTAGTGCTTCCAAATTTTTTTCACTTATATGATCAATTATGTTTGACTTTGCTTTTTTAATTTTTCATGTTCCTTACATTTGGTCGTTATTTTCCTATATAGAAACTTCTGCAGTCTAAGTATTCTATTTTATACATAGGTGCCATTCCATATTTTTTATTATCTTACAGCTTTCATAGAAAACTTTTAACATTGGTTCATGGTGTAGTTAAGGTTTTAGTTTTTATGTTTAATTTGTGGTTTTTTCTTCAGTTGTAAAGTAAGTTGATTAATTTTTCACTAATAACACCTACAAGTGGTATTGATCCGTAAAAGAAAAATATAGCAATAGCATAGTGTATAAAATAGAATGTTTAGATTGCAAAAGTTTCTGTATAGGTGAAACAGGTAGGAAAATAATGATCAGATGTAAGGAACATGAAAAATGAAAAATCAATCACAAATTAATGTATGATTAAAAAACAACACAACATAAATTTTTAAAATGTTTAAACACTGAATGCAAAGAAAAATCTAAACAAAAAGAAATTCTGGAAGCACTAAGAATCAAAGAATTAAAACCTAAAATAAAAAAAAATATCAGGAGTGCCATTATATTTGTACTAAGTTAATTACACTGAAAACCAGATAGAACTAGTATAATCATAAACAATTATTTGATTAAATGTATTTGTTATTCAAATGTTAGAGATGAAATCTTGTACTGAAATAAATCTACAAGTATTATTGCACAAACAGTTGTTTTAAACTTTTTACATGTTTGATTATTAAATGGATATCTTTTAAAAAAGTAATGACACTTTTTTTCTATTGTCATTCTGCCCACTTTAAAATAACAGTGAAGATTAAAAAAACCCTTCAGTAATTTACTATAAATCACAGACTCTGATTTAATTTCTTTATTTTCCAACTTTTGATATAAAATAGGAAAATAGGGCATAGTTGACCAACTCTTGGGCTACTCTTTTACCAATAAATAGTGAGATTGACCATCACATTATAATGCCTCCATAGCTGAAAGGGCGAGCATGTTTTGGATGACAGGGATTCGAACTCATGACCCCGCAGAGTGCGAGTCAAGTGCCCTAACCACCTGGCCATGCCAGGCCCAGGCAGACAAAGGAAAAAATCATCTAAAGACCCTGCAATTTGAATAACATTACATAACTAAAGCTAAAGTCATATAGTAATGGGGGCATAGTTTAGTATATCATACACAAATTACACGACAGTCATTGATTATAAGGTTGCTTTTGTTTTTCTGACTGTGGTTTTCAAACATTGTTTAGATCTAACTTGTGGTAGATTATTTTGGACTTATTATGTTACTTAAATTCCCCAAAAATTACACAACTGCTATTACCAGTACAAGATGCTACGGTAACTTATTGTAACACAGTTTAGAAAACATAAACCTGAAGCATTTTTGCTACCGTTTTCAAACGTTCTTGGTATCCTTTACATATTTTACTTGCATTACAAATACAGGATTATCAAAGCCAGTTTATAGTTCACTGAAAAGGATGTTAGTAAATATGTAGAATCTGGTAGTGATTTTACCACCACTTAAGAACAATTTGAAACCATCATATGTTAAAACTCTATCACTAAACTCTGTCTTTAATAATGGATGCTATAAAGAAGACTAATAACAAGGATATGTACAAAAATCATCACTATGTTCATGCTGTTGTCAACCTTCAGACATGGTAATGGTATTATTATATGAAATTAAAAAGTCTAAGCTGTTAGGCTACACTGATTAATACAATATTGGAAAATGGAAACAAATGAATCCTGGAAATAAGAACATATCATAAATGTATATAAAGGGCTTTCTTTAACTCAGCTTATTTACACCCACTTAATGGAGAATTTTTTTTGATGGCTTATCTTTCCAAAGTTTTTTTCCTACAGATCACAGAATTTGTACTACCAGTTTCAACTACAGCATCATAACTGACACAGAAAGCCAAAGACGATCAAAATCAATGTAGACGACACAACATAATGTGAAGCATCTTGTGATAAAAAAAAATATTAGGGTGATGAGAAAAGCAACTAAACTACAAAAAATTAGGATTGTTTACAATAAGCAGCAATGATCAGTTTACTAAAAAGAAAATTATTCTTAAATTAATCAGCCTAAATTTCTTCATCTAAAAATATAATGACACTCAACCAGTTACAGCTTTCATGTGCTGGGTTGATACAGATTGCAAGTTGACTGAGTTACTGATGAAACAACTTTTATAACAACATCTCAAAATCCTAAACAGCAGAAAGTCAGAAACAGAATGAAATGAGAGCTACTAGTAAAGAGAGGGGGGGGGGGGAGCTGTGGTCCATGTGAATCAGTGTTGGATTTTCCCACTCTGGAATACCAAACAGCAAGATGATCACAGTGACTAAAAATTTGATCTGTTATTTAAAAGTTGGAAAGTGTGTAAGCATTATTCAGGAGTCCAAGTTACAGCAAGAGTGAAGCCAGTTGCAACCTCATGAATTTAAGGAACTTCCAACCACAACAACAAAAAAGAATAATAGAAACTTATCCACTGATGACCTCATTCACTGTGATAAACCAGTACAAACTTTCTCCATATATCTCATTTGTCCAGATCAACCTGAGATAAAAACATCTGGTTATAGTCGGGTTTATTTTTCCAATAAAGGTGCTAGAAAAGATGGATAATTTGGGATAATTAATGGCAAACAATTGATTTTGGTCAATTTGAAGGTGCTGAATTCAAAAATTTTGTTTGCTTACCTAGCAAATGGCTCCTTCACCCTCAAAATTGAAAAACAAAATGGCTATCATTTACCCCTGGGGTTTGGTTATATATCTTTTAACAAATAGAGTGAAATTTTCTTTAAGTATGGAGATTGAGTCAATTTGTGAATGCCGAGTTCAAAAATACCGATTACAAACCTAAATTTTGTCTCATTCTTCCAAAAACAACACAAAATGGTGCCCAAAAGGCTGCGTTTATTTAGGTTTATGGGCTGCCATTTCTTTCTGCATAACTGCCTTAAATAGTAATTGGTATGTCTAAACTGAAACACAAAATCAATACTCAATAGTAGAGGATAGCTTTTGGTCATATGTTAATTTAGAAAATCTTATAAAGAGAAAAACTAGTTGTCCATGTTCATACAATTGCCTGCACATTTGCATGCTCCACAGCATCCCAACTTTGTCTTTCAACTCTTGCACCACATTGTTGAACATCTCGTCTTGCACTGACATGTGATCAGTTCTTCACATACTTGTGGTACTGGAGTTACAGAGGAGAGAACCAGCTGTAACTGACTATCTTCAAGTACCCAACCATAATCAGTCACAGGTGGAAGCTCTGGAAATGGAATCTGTGCTTGTATCCAAATGAGAGTCCGGTAGTGTATTCTCATGATATGAAACTTGAGAGAATCACAAGTTGAAGGAAGTTTGTCTAACTGCTGAGCATTTTTTAATTGGACCACTTGTACTTGGTCAATTCTATCAGCTTCAAGAGCAGGTTCAAAAATTTTACATACAAAATTTTCAGCATTCTTTATTTTTTTTAATGTCAAAGGGGCAACACCAAGTCCATCTAGGAGTGTGATGTGCTCAAAAAAGCATCTCAAAGCTAATTTCTTGCTATTGGCTGCCAAAAAGAATGTTGAGTCACTGCCGCTAAGGAAATGAAATGGCAGAAGGTTGGACAAAGTGCATAGCAGTGACAAGTTCATGAATTGGGATGAATTTGGGAAGATTCTGAGAACCTGCTTTCATCCACAACTCTTCACACTGAAATTTCTCAAAATGAGCAAGTAGCAACAGTAATATATCTTGAGCTTGTACAATAATGACAGAAGTGCTGGAATGGATACAGTGCAATATTATACATGTATCTGCTTCTTCCTGGGAGCTTTGAAAAAGTATCACAGTAATATCTGATTGGCTGCAAAAGACTAGACTTTCCTGAATAAATCCCCCTGTATTTACAATCACAGGTATTTCAGCTTATGTTGCCTGCTTTGAAATTTCCACTGATAGGAACTCAACCAATTCAATCTTGTTTTCAGTAACAGCTAAAAATCCTGCCCCGTCATTAAGTAGAGGAACATCGGAAGACCGAATTAACTTTCTGATTGATGTTCGTTTCTTGGTTTTGTTGCACCTGTGTCAAGTGGTGGACTTCACAGACAAGATTTTATAATGATCAAAGACAATGTCAAGCTGCTTGAATTTTTCTCCTGCCTTAAAGACCAGCGCACAGAAAACACTAGCAAAATCTCCAAAGATTTTTGCCTCTTGATGTTTTCCAAGGATATGAACTACAGACATATCATCAATTATCAGTGTTGCATCTTCATATGGAGCAGGCTCTTAGGGCAACTGATCTTTACTATCAGCTCATCATCTAGAAGTGACTTTGATCCTGATCTCAGAGAGCCATCCAATGCTGCTAAAGAAAGAGGGACTGGTGACAGTTCATGTTTCATGATTTCATTCAGGTCAGCTTTAATTGTCTTGATTTTGTCCTTTCCCATACATGAGGCTTTCACTTCATACATGCTAGCAAGGTCTCAAAGATTAATTTATTCTAATCTTGTCTAAACAATTTCAATTTGAAGGTAGGCAAGTAGAGAGCCTGATGAGTAATAAAATTGAATCAGGTATAAGCACCCCACATGCTTGGTATTAGTGGCGCACAAAAATACAGCTAATAAAAAGGGAAACAAAGATCTCACTTACTCTAATCCTGCCTAAAAGAATTTCAAATGCCATGGCTATTGACGATTCCCTCTTGTTTAGTTCAAAGAACCATTTAGGTCTGTAACAAAGACAGAAAACATTGTGATTAAATGCTTGAGACACAAATTTTGCTTCACTTTTTTAGGTGTACAAGGTAATGGTCACTGATTTTTGGAGGTTTATGGACAGCCATTTTGATTTTTAATTTTGAGGGTGAAGGAACCATTTGCTAGGGGAGTGGGGGTGGGGGTGATATAAGCAAACAAAAGTTTTGAATTTAGCACCCTCAAATTGACCAAAATCAACTGTTTGCCAAAAATTACCCCAAAATGCTTGATGTTGACCACTTTTCTGAAAAGTGAACCAGACTATAAGCCATAAACAAAGGTTGTATTAACAGAGAATTCTGCATATATGAAGGAAATTTAAATAAAACACAAAAATTAACACTACTGCATTTCTAAAATGCTGATGTGACACAAAACCTAATGGTTAAAATTACCAATGTTTTTTATGTAATGCAACATGAAAAATGTTTCATTGTTCCAAGCATCCTCCTAACAAAAACTAAAGAATAAACACCTAAGTGCATACATCCAAAAGCCATAAGCTTGTTTTGAATTTTGCACAAAGAAACATGAGGGCTGTCTGTGCTAAAAGCCATAGGAGTTCAGTAACAAAGAGTGCATTACTATTTCATTCAGCCATATTTCCAGTTGAGATTTTAAACATTGCTGTCACCACAATAAAACTAATGTTATCTGTTTAGACTCTGGGCTTTATTACTACTATTCTCTACTGGGTTTTAAACTTTGTAAGGTAAAGCTATGATAATTAAAACATTTTTTTCCCCCACAAAATATATTAACTTTATTTTAACACTGGTTGACTTGTTTGGGTTACTTTAGGACTATATAGTTGCCACTAATTAATCCAAAATACTATATTATTATAACAGAAGTGATTCTTCTTTCATGTAAAATATACTGAAAATTTTGTTAGTGTTACAGAGCTAACTTTAAAAATGTTGCCACTTATCATACTATCATCATAAAAATAAAAAATACAGCAGCTAGCATGGAACAATTAAACAGTATTGTTAACACAATACTATTATATTATCTGAATAATCTTTCTAATTTTATTCTATTCATTTTCTAATAGTTTTCAAACTTTTTAAGATAGTTTTAATTATCAAAAGCTTTAACTTAAAAACTAAATTGATGTTATTCTAATTTTTATGCTGTTTGATTTTGAACCTAGGCTACTCGAAGGATATCCAAAATACTAAATTTTCATTGTAGATAAGCATGCATTTGCCTAATAAATAAATAGATTACGATTATTTATTCCCTTTGGTTTGTAATAAAGCAATTGAGTTACTGTTTACTTACAGATATAACACTTAAGACTCTAATGTTGTTGCAAACATGCTTATGAACATATAAAACAATACCAATTGTCTAGAAAAATGTTCACAGTACTGTTCCAATAGGTTAGTGATAAATGAATAAATCTTTCATTGTTTTTAAGTATTCAACAATAAATGAACTTAACATATAACTCTGGGATACCTGGTAACCCCTATACCACTGCACATGTGCATGGTGTTTGGCATTAGGTACTTTGGATGATGCACTACTGTTTGCATGTTAACTTAATCTGAAATAACGTTATATTTGAAATTAAATGTTTCGATGCAATACGTAAAAGAAGAAACAGACATTACAGTTGAAAATGCAGAATTTTAGAAACCATGTTTTAAAAAAATTTACTTTTTAAAAGCTAGTATGACCTTTGCCCTAAATATAACCTAAGACATGTTCTTATGTACAAGCTGATCAACAAATGCACAGAGAAGTTTCAAACAATGCAAAAGATGTATTGTGTTTTTTTAGAACTGGTAAGCATTTTCTTTAACTCTTATTTAGAAAAAAAAGTTAGATCCCATTACTTCACAACAAAAAAAGTTATTTAACATATACACTTTTACTTACAGTGATATCGTCTAAAGAAGAATCAATAATTTCATAATTGTCTGGGATGCAGTAGAAACGTAGAGTTTGAAGGTTGAGAAAAACATGGTGACCTGCCTGTACACTGTGCGTGTGTGCATGAGTGTTTGTTCCTCTTCCTGGAAAAAATTATTACTCTGTATCAAATAAACTTTACTAAATGATCATTATACAACTTATGAATTACATAAATATTTTGATGGGTTTGAAGTTCACACTGTAAACAACATTTCTTGTATACACAAATCTTTTCTCAATAAATATATGACTAATTTGGTATTATTCACTGTGGTTCTAAAATTTAAATTACATAAAAATACATCTTAACATGAACTGTATTCTATAGACTTTTACCAAATGTATTTATTACTTGTTCTTTAATATGTGTTAATTATTTTTAAGATTTTTTAATTAAAAAATGCACATGTAAAAAGTATTTTGGTAGGAACAAACAGAAACAAATGTACACTTGAGCACAAAGAAAAGCTAAATTATATTTACATTGTAGGAAATATATGTATACAGGTGATCAAACTGCATCACCCATGACAGTTTTTAATGACAGTTTAAAAACGAAACTGCTAGAAAAACTTACCATTATACATAATATATCATACAGTAAATAGTTCTACAAAAACAACTCTTGTTTCTTTAAATAATATATATTTAGAGTAATATATATTAACAGTTATAACAATGTCAAGTACAAGAAACAAATTGTGTTTAAAATAACAATGCTAAAGGGAGAAGAAAAACTAAAACTATCTCTTAAGACACTATAAATAATTTTGTCTATTATTTTATATATGTCATAAAAAAATTAAATTGAAATTAGTTTTATTGTGACAATAGTGTTCACATTCATAAGTTAACATGTTATTTTTTCTAATACAGTTCATGACTAAAAAGAAATACTAACTGGTAATAAGAATATCATTAAGATTTGCCAGCATTATTTCAATATGATACAGTAAATAGAAAAAAAAATATAACAAAAAGTTATACAATCAATTTTAAACTATTCTAAATGATAACCAATTGAAGAGATGTTCAGAAAACTAGAGTATTTTCAATAACACAAAATGTCAGTAATGTATGCTTTCTCCTTTATAGTCGCATGGTTACAGATTCCAAGATACTTATAACAGATTTCTGAATAACAGGATATTGTTTAGATAATATTAAAATTCAGATAACAAAGACCAACAACTATTTTTTACATAATTATTATGAAGCCTAAAGGAAGAAACATTTAAGATATAATTGGGTAGTAGGGCATAGAATATTTTGTGTGATACAGAAGTACATGAAACACCCTGTGTCAACTTGCTAAACAAAGTATTAAATATTATGCAGCCAGTTATACAAAAGTTTATGTAACTTCTTGTTCATGTCACAGTAGCAGCATGAAGAAATCACATTCATGGAGTACGCAACTAAAAACCTCATGCATCATGTATATTTTTGTATCACTAGTCATTACTCTATCATAACACACATTTTTCTATGCCAAGAATGTAAAATTGGAAGAACAGTAAATCTGTAACATTCAAGTGCTATTCTGATACTGATAGTTTGAATTCCTTTAGTAGTTTTTTTGCTTTTTAAGATTCTAATTTTTGTATCATTTATGACATTAGGTATAATTAACTGCCAAAAATGATGACTCCGGGATGGCTAAGGTTTTGTTCTTACTTCAAAAATTGGACAGTTTCTATAACAATAGACTCATAGTAATATAGGTAATTTGTCTCAACTCTAAACCATTAATTGACAAATATATATGTGTGTGTGTGTGCACTTATAACTGGAAAACTGCTGGACTGGTTGCCACCAAACCTCGAATGTACCCTTAAAGCTCCCCACAGAGCGATGAAGAGGGGCAGAATTTGTATCTGACCTCTTTAAGTTACTTCCCAACAAGACCTCTATGTCTTTCCTCTGTGAACAGTTAAACCAGTTAGTAATTCATAAAATTTCACAATTCATGCACTTTCATAAGGTACATCTTCCTAGAGATAAATGAAACTTGATAGTAATGTTATACTAAATATGACTTGTTACAGAAAGTTTCAAACTTCGGTAATACTTGGCTGTTAACTGGAGGAACTTCAAACAAATGAATATTGTTGTGACTAATAACATAACATTACACCTGCACGTAACTGACCACAATTAAAAACTAATGTACAAGAAGGTCATGTAATGCAAGTCACGTTTCAGCAGTCACAGCCGTGGAATCTTTTAAGTTTAAATGAGTTCTTAAAACTGTAAGCATTATATATCAAATCATTTTCACACTTATTGAATGATTTAGACAACATGTATATCATGTGAAACAATTATGTTTAAAAATAAGGAACTCATGTAAAGTCATAGTTATGATCAAAGTTTGTGGAACCCTTATATTTTACAGTGCCTATGAATGATATTCAATATTTAAATCAACTTTAGAAAATTATTTTTTTATCAATATTGCAGAGGTCATACAGAGTTTTAGACAAAACTTTAACAACACAGATATTTCTTTAATTAGATAGCTTTTGTTAAACTCTTTATATTACTTAACATAAAAAAGGGCACTTCTTAAAAAGTTTCTATACATGTACATTATGTTCAAGTAATAAGTTAACAAAATTAACATATATGTTTCTTTATTTCTTTGTACTTATGCAGCAAACAAATTCAAGCTTTATTGGCTGTGCAACTTTTACTTTGGTTCTGAAAAATAAGAACATTATTTTGCATTTAAATAACAGATTATTAGCTTTTCATATGTAGCATGATTTGTATTTTTATTCACTACAATATAGACAATTCATCTAAAACTTTTAATTTAACAATAAAAACATTCTATCAATATATAATACATTTTCTCATTGCAAATTCTCATCAGTTTCTACTTCAGTAACATAATACATGAACTTAGAAGATTAATAAGCTTCAAAATTATGATTCACATTTCAATGAAATTTCATTTTTATTCTTAGGCAACTATTAAAAATCTGTCCTTGTGACTGTGCATCAGGAGCTTGAAAATTATTTCATTAATTTGAAGTAATGCTGCTAGATAATGCTTGGTGACGGCTTGAATGGGTAATGAAGAAAAGTTTTAATATAAGTTTAACATAACAGCAAATATACAACGTTTAGACAAGTGTTGTCATCATCAGGTACAAGTAGTTTACACTGATACAGACATATATGTATATATATATATATATATATACACACACACACACACAGTATGGAACAAAGATGTCACACATCTGGATACTGTTGCACGACTTAGAAGAGATATCTTGGCACCCCAGTGTGTTGGTTTAGAGTAGGGTTGTTTTGTTCAATTAAGATGGATTCCTTAATTTTTAATTTGTTTGTTTGGTGTTTTGAGTTGCAATGGTGAAAAACATGGGATGGTTTTTTATTGTGTTCTGTGAATATGGTTTCCAATTTTCTTCTCGTTTCTCCAATTAGTCTCAATATGGGTTCCTCGTCATCAAATTTGAATGCTGCTAGACTTGCCAAAGTAAAAATACAATATCTTTTAAATTTAGTAGTTCCCACAGTACTGCTACTGTAGCTTTTAACTGTAAAAATTAAACATATTATGGCCAGTCAAATTAATTCCTATTTCTGTCAACTTTCTATTGGTCAGGTTTGAATTACTTATTGAAAACTATCTGTCACTTCATGGAGATTCAATGCAGTCAATTCTGTAAGCTAATTTCAAAATGTTAACTTGTTCTTTATTCTTTGAGTTGGAATTGTGTATTTTGACTGTATACTCTGAGAAGTGTGTTGCAGTTATTATAACAATGGAATATGAGTTCTATCAAAATCCTAAGCAACGAAAAAAATTTAAATGCTAGTTAGTAAACTAAGATAATCTATTATGCATATAACTAATAAATACCACTTACCATAACACACATTTCCATTAGAGCTTTAATTATTAAATAATATCAAGTTCTATTCAAAAATATGAGTTTTCTTACCTTGAAAATACTTGCCACAGACCAGACAAGCATACACATTTATTCTTGATAAGGAAATTGAGCAGAGCTTCTCAAAGTCAAAATCTAAGACATTTCTGAAATTAAAACACATCAGAAGAAAATAAAATACTTAATGCATTCAGTGTCCAGAATAATACTTTAGTATACAAAAAAAGAGAAAAGTAAATGCATCTAGATTGCATCATTTGACTGTTTGATAAGTAGAGCTCAAAACAAGGTAAATGTGATTAACAAATAACTGATATACAATTTAGGGTGACTTTTTATTCATCTACACAAGTGCTAATATATTGTAAATATATGGAGGTTACTCAAACATATAAAAAAAAAGATTAAATATATTAACGTAAATTAACTATGAAAAATACAGAAACCTAACAAAGCATCATATTATTGGCATAAACATAAAACAAGGCATCATTTATTGGCATCAGCATTAAATCTCACTTCAGCTATTTTATTCAAACATCGTGCATTTGTGGTATATATTTATATGCTGTTGGTAACTAGATGTAAAGGTTCGAAGTACTACTATTTATATAATTTTTTTGCTGTTGGATTGTTTTGTTTTGCACAGCTAGCTGAAGTAGAGTACTATATTACACAAATGTTTACACACACACACACATATATATATATATTAACTTCATATTTTACTTTTATTAAATTCTAAAAACAAAATCCACTTCACTAACAGCTTGTCAAAAATATAGTTATTCTCTAACAACTCAATCTTAAAGTGGCAATAAAAGGGCCAGATGAAGTCACCAGCAGGCACACTAAAATAATTTGACATAAAAATGAAAAGTCATTTAAACTATTATTTCATCACTTATGTTTTAAAGTGATGCCTTTTCATTAAAAAATATATATATACATAAACAACCCCCCTTTCACTTATTATCTCTTAAACCTAAAAATACTATCTTTGTTTGTGACTCAAGACCATTAGTACAGTGGAATTTCAGAGGTTAGCACAAATAAATGAATAGGGAAAGTTGGACTGACAATAAAATCTCAAGCATAACAAGATCATTTTCTATTAAATTCAATGTATACGTTTTATTTGCATTTTTTCTTAGAAACAAATAATTGAAAGTAATTTTCCGCATCAAAAATAGAGTAATAACACTGTTCTACCTATTTATAGTGTCTAAATATGGGCAATTTCTTCCCCTGTCCTTATTAGGTTGATGACTTCTTTCTGTAAGAAATATTACAAAAAATGTGTGACTAAGAACTAAATAGTGGTCAACTTTTTCACATAAATCTTCCATAACTACTTAATATTAGAAAAACGAAGCCAATTTATAGTTATTGATACCTGTGTTTACTTACAATAAGATATAATTACTTATTAAGAACACTTATATAAATGACTCGTATGCAGCAAGACCTTGAAAGCAGGAACATAACTGTGCTGTTAAAATTACAAAAGAAACGAGGAGAAACTAAAATTATCAATTCTTATTTTAAACTTTTGTAACATGCCAGCCTCCTCTGCTGCTGTTAACTCATTCCACAAACCAATAATTCTAGTAGAAAAACTGAACTATTTTAACTGAAGCCTAGCCTATCTTTTCCAAATCTTAAGCTTGTGTTCTTTTGTATTTAGAATATAAAGCAAAATATTTGTATTGATTTCCTGAATGATCTTGTAAAATTCAATAAGATCACCTCTTACTCTTCAGATGTCCTAGCCCACCCAGTACAGTCCATCTTAACTTGTTTTTAGCCAACAAGCATTTCTTTTAGCCATATTTGTATATTTTTATAGCCACAATATATATATATATATGGCAGGCATTAGGAGTGTTTGACATCAGGCAATTCAACTTATATTTTGGATTTTACTCAGTGCCATTGTGATGTGTGCAAATTTATTACTAATAACCTAACTTGTTTGATTAGAGAATACGAGTAGCAAAGTCATTAGGTATAAAGAAATTCTCAAACAGTTTATACATGGATTTGGTTAGGTGCTCTATAAACTATTGTTTGGGACCATTGAAGGTGGGAGTCTTGATATTTATAGTGAAATACAGCTAGGCAATTAGTGAAATTTGATAAACAATTAATAATTGGGTTCAATAGATGGATTATTCTCACAAGAGTTGGATAGTTGGAATAATCAAAAATAGAAATAATCAGAAACCCTAATTTTGATCAGTTAATTATTTTCATGAACTGTGACACTATAATTAAGCTCAATAACCTTGAATTAATCAAAAATAATAATCAGAAATCATAATAGCAATATTTGGATTACTTGAATTGTTGGAAAAATCAAAAACAATAGTAATCAGAAACACTATTTTCAATTAGTTGATTATTTTGTTACATTAATTGATTTCATTTAGAGATAATGTAATAACATCATTGTATTAACTTAAATATGTTTGTATGACTGAGAGTTTGTGAATTAAAGGAATGTGTATATTTGTGTATACAGCTTTGGTTTGAGATTTACAGGTATGTAATTTAAGTATTTGTGTGTACAGCACTTGCTACACTTCCAAGTTCAGAATACTCAGGAACTTACATGGCTCTCTAGAAATCTGTCTAGTGTTTTTTTAGCAACAGTATGAAATGATGTAAGCAACAACAAAAAAAAACTACTTGTCCAACATGTAAATTATAAACGTCACTGCTTCTTTACTAAAATAAGTGTCTTGATTTTTGTCAATAATTAGTGAAGCCCATACACTGTACAGGTTAATATCTCTTATTTTCTCTTCAGAAAATGAGGGTAGTAAACAGTCTTATTAAAGTTTACAAAATTATCCAAGGGATAGAGAAAAGATAACAACCTCTGTTTTCTTTATCATATGTTCTTAAATTAAATAAGATGAGAGAACACAAGTTTATGACCTAGAAAAGGTAGACTAAGTGCCAGCTAACAGGGTGACTGAATAAGTTGACATCAAAACAAGAATTTAAGCAATTAAAGAAGAGAATCAATCATTTTCTGAAAAATAAAAATTAAAAGAGGAGATAAATGTTTATTTTTCTCAAGGATGAATGTGCATGGGCAGACTTGAAGAATGAAGGACCAAATTGTTTCTTGTTGTCCAATAAAACTAATATCCAGTTACTCAGTGAATTAGTAATTATATTTAGATGACTGAGCAGCAAGGTTACTAACCACTACAATCACAAAATATTGTAATATTATACTATTAGTATTACTTGCTTATAGTAGCATTACTATTGTACAGTAATGCTCTCTAGCAATAACATATAAATATATTACACACTGATAATTAAAATGATATAGTAATTACGATACTTAACATATCATTAGTTATAACTAATATTACGAGTACTACCATATTTCATCAGTTTATTGTACTGTTGTACTTGTAGTACCCTGTCTTATTTTACTTATTAAGTCTAAACTTAATATGTTAGTCTAATTAGACTATTCTATAGTGAAAATTTATAGACTACACTATAACCTAAATAAGGTGGTAATACTAATACACATAGTATAGACTATAGTATAGTGTATAGTAATTAGTTTACAATAGGCCTAATTACATTCCGCCAAGTGAAGGGAACTGAGATAGGAACTGTTTAACCTCTTATTATTAATTTATGATCACGCTTATCAAATGATCTTATTCAAAACTACTTTAAATTACATTACCAGTAATTTTATTTTGCTTTGATGAATAACGGAGGGTTTTATCTTCGATATGATCATATTTACGCTTTAAGTTTATATTCGGCACTGAAACAGCCATTGCGATAAACTAAGCATAGCGTCCTCTAGTAATTATGCAAAGCTTTACAAATTAACCCTAGTTCTTTGTAAATTATAATATATATACACACACGCACAGATATATATATATACACTCTTACACCAGTTAAAGAACGCAAAATACCTCTGTGTTGCAAATCTTGAGATTGCAATGTTTTTTTGTGACTATAAAGTAAATATTCAGCTATATGAAGATTTAACAAAAATATCCACTAAACAGAAAGCTACTAATAATGGTTGGAGACGGCCTGAATGGGTAATGAAGAAAAACTTTAATATAAGTTTAACACAACAGTAAATGTACAACGTTTCGACAATGTTTTGTCATCATCAGG